GCACCAGCCAATCAGAACCCGCCTCTCATCCGCCCATTCATCCGCCTCGACCAATGGCGTCGCGCGTTACGGGCGCCGCCGCCGTAAGAGCACCCACGTCTCCTTTCCGCCGCTGACTCGCTATTCGTCAGGCAGTTCGACCGTACACGTCCAGCAAAAGTGAGTAGTTTGGACCCAATTTTGTGAGGGAGTTCGTCCGGATTTCGGTCGGGAAGGGGTGTGAGTTAGTGTTCTCCAAAGGGAAAGGTGAATAAAGGCGTTATTTGAAGGAAAAGAGGGTGAAAATGGACTTTAAAGTGGCGTTCGTCGGCGTTGACGGGGTCTCCTCGGCGATGACGAAACCACCGCCTGATCAGCTGTCTAGCCGGGAACGCGACCTGGAAAATCAATAATTCGGTCATTTTTACCATAGCCTGGAGGAAAACGTTTACATATACACAATCTTCCCAAAGTGAGGAATAGGACGGTGTATATTTGTTGATTAAAACCTGAAAATAAGCCTGGGAAAGGATAAATTGAAACTTCGGACTGGCGTAATCGATCTCTAGGACACCCACGAGCGTCAAAACTCACATATTCTCAATTTTTCTCTCTCCCCTTCGCTAAACCATAAAGTAAGGGAATGAGAAACGTAAAGCGAAACGAAAGAGATGCAAAAAGTAGTGAGAAAGTCCTTGAAGAGGCCGAATGATATGAAAATAAGTCAAAAGTAGCTGTAACAACGTGGTTTAGGGTACTCCGTGAGAGTGAAAGTGGGACAGTTAGATGGTAGCAGCGTAGTTTTTGTAGTTGTTGCGTCTATGGTTGTTTTCCTTGTCATTGGGGTTCTTGCTCGGCGAAAAAGTAGTTAAACGACTCCCAATGGTCTACTATCGAACGCCATATTGGAGGAGGATAGACAGTCCACATGGACCTAGGGGAATGGACGTATTTGTTTCAACTTAAAACGCCCCATAGCTTCTACAGTTTTTGCCTTTGGACACGGTGCAAGGCTGTTCAGCTAGATTTTTTTTATTAGTTATCTTTCTCTTCTTCTCTTCTTCTCTCTCCTCTCTTTCTCTCTCTCTTCTCTCTTTCTCTCTCTTTCTCTCCTCTCTTCTCTCTCTTCTCTCTCCTCTCTCATTCTCATCTCCTCTCTTTCTCATTCTCTTCTCCTCTCTTTCTCCTCTCTTTTCTCTTCTCCTCTTCTCCCTCTCTCCCTTCTCTTCTCCTTCTCTTTCTCCTCTCTTCTCTCCTTCTCTTCTCCCTTCCCCTTCTCTTCTCCTCCCTCTCTTCTCCTCTCTCCTTCTCCCTCTCTCCCTCTCTTTCTCCTCTTTCTCCTTAATATTGAAAAAATACACATATTATTTAGTGTCTATCAAGACCCCCACCACCCAAGGCAAAGTGAAACTCGGTTCTGCAGAAGTACAGCCTACTTCTTAAAAAAAGCTCATCTTTTCCTTGTGAGATTCCTGGTAGTTGCAAACCGGCTGTGATGCAATGGGGGGATCTCTCACCGGGCCGGCTGTCATGAGGATTATGCAATCACACGCGGGATTAGGATGTAATGGGATGAAGTCAAAGAATATTGCTGAAGTGATTAATTCCCGGGATATCCTGATTAGGTATTGATAAGCGGGTTTGTAATGTAGGCCTATAGTAGATGTTAAGGATAGGGATAGGCCTATATTTTTCTCATCTGCAAGGAGATTGATTGATGTTACGAAATGGTAGGAAAGACCTTATAAAAACATTTCTGTCAGTGTGGATTCTAAAGAAGGTTCGAGAATCCGGCGGGTTGTAGAAAGATGACCGATTTAACCTTGGCGTGACTGCGTAACAAGAAAAAAGGCCCATCTAGATTCTGTATACTCGTTGGTCCAGTATAAATAAGTTTATTTTATTCGATTATTAACATGAATTGCTATTGATGCAATTGATATGTAATTATTTTGCCCAACAAGTATAGTTACGTAAAGTGCTTGCGTATGCTTATGTAAGGAGAACTGAGATGACCTCATCTGTTCTCTATGGAACAATGACGTTATGTTTCTCGAAAATTGTAACATCTTTTAATTGTCTGTGTAATTTTGGAAGGATATGACAGTCTAACCATTTAGAGCAAGCGAAACAGTTCTTTATGTAAAATCCGGTACTTTTGCCTTTAATTTTTACACTTTCGTCTATAATATACTCTTCCATCAATGCAAAAGTAAGTCAGTGTTTATCGGAACTGCATGTGGTTGCTGCGAAGTGAAGATTTGGAAATTTAGGAAAAAATGTATGCCGGAGGATGGCCATAAAACGTTTCCAAGAAAAAATTCCGCAAGAGAATGTGGCAACTCCCATGCGTCAGTGTGACGTCACTCAACGTGCCGAGGAAAGTTACCACTTGTTCACATATTCCAATAACCTTGTGGGCTTGTTATCGCTAAGGTAGTTGAATGAAAATTGACGTTGAGCTTAGGCTGTTAGTAACGGTGAATGTTTTGAGCGATTGAGAAGTTTGAATTATAGAATTGATTGGTATTGGCGTCTGGCTGAGTTGCCGATTAGCAGTTTTGCGACTGGCAGCCTGATTGATCCCAGTCTGTGGAATGAGATAAATGCTGAGAGGGAAGATAGGCATTATCTGTAGGATTCGTATCTATCTCGAGGATCTCCTCTCTCTCTCTCTCTCTCCTCTCTCTCTCTCTCTCTCTCTTCTCTCTCTCTCTCTCTCTCTCTCTCTCTCTCTCTCTCTCTCTCTCTCTCTCTCTCCTCTCCTCTCTCTCTCTCTCTCTCTCTCTCTCTCTCTCTCTCTCTCCCTCTCTCTCTCTCTCTCTCTCTCTCCTCTCTCTCTCTCTCCCCCTCTCTCTCTCTCTCTCCTCCTCTCTCTCTCCTCTCCCTCTCTCCTCTCCCTCTCCCTCTCCCTCTCTCCTCTCCTCTCTCTCTCTCTCTCTCCTCTCTCTCTCTCTCTCTTCTCTCTCTCTCTCTCTCTCTCATCTCTCTCTCTTCATTTTGTTCTCTTTTCCCTCTTTCCTCTTTTCCTCTCCTTCCTTTTCAGTTTTCCATTTTTCCCTCTTTTCTTGTTTTCCTCTCTTGCTCTCCCCCTTTTACATGTCTCGTTTTTCATTTTCCTCTCTCCCGCTTTTCTTATTTCCCTCACTTTCTTTCCCTCTTTTCTTATTTTCCTAATTCGTCCCTCGCTTTTCCCTTTGTCTCTCGTTTCGAGTTTTCCTTCTCCTCGAGTAAAACGTCTCACTTATTTCCCTAACATTGCACTTTGAGAGGAAGTAGAAGGAATTAAGTCTGCATCGAGCCAGGTTGCTACGAAGGAGAGTAAACGGAAGAAAATCAACCTGGAATGAGAGAAAAATATAGTCAAATGTGAGAACAGGTAACAACCGTGCAGTCTGTGGGCGAGTGAGCGGTTGGGTCGTTGACCTCAGACAGTCGCAACCGCCTTTTCGTTGTCTTCTCTCTCGTTCCGCCATTTTATTCTCTATTTGGTATTATGATTATATTTTATTTACTTATGTATTTATGTATTTATTTTTGTTATTATTATTTTGCTGGTTGCGGGCGAAGGGTTGGTGTGGTGGGAATGGATTGCGGGTTGAATGGGTAGGGGGAGGGAGCAGGATAAAGATTATATAGCTTTTTTTTTTTAGCAAAGCTTTAAAGTGCGAATCAGTTACTTTATGAAAATTTGCGTATTTCTCTCCCTGTCACCCCTATCCTTACTGCTTTCTCCCATCCGCTTAAAGCCATGGGACGTAACGGTATTGCGGTTACGAGAATACTACGTAAGGTGCATCCGGCACAAACAAACAGGAAGTGGCGGTAGGCCTACCACTTCCGTACGAGGGACCTGGCGGGAAGGGGCGTGTATAAGAAAACAATGTTTTTTATCCTTTCTACGGTTATTGTTTTCGTTCCTTTTACATTGCATTAAATTCGCACGTTGTATTCCAAATGTGTGAATGCGCAACGTGTAGTATTACTTGGCCGTAGAGGACATGAGAAACGTTTTCCACAAACGTTTGATCAGGCCGTCACGCATGTTTATTTTTGCTTGAAGTGGTTCACATTACTTTTTATTATATTGTAATATCCCTGTGTTGATATGATATCTTTTAGGTTAATTTTCTTGGGTATTGTAATTTCTATCACTTTGCCTCATCGTTAGGATTTGTTAATTAGGGCAAGATGGCTAGAGAAAGCCAGGCTCTTGCATGGTATTCCATGTTGAAATGGATGAGTTATTTGTTAATGTTATTATTATAACATTGGTTTTTGTAACGATATGATTCGAATCTCTTGTTGTATATCAGTATAGTAATGGTATTCATATTATCGTATTTTCCTTAAGCAAAACTGACTTTTCTCTCTGCGTCGGCAGGCACAGCCATGGGTGACGTCCAGAAGGGAAAGAAGCTGTTCGTGCAGCGGTGCGCGCAGTGCCACACGGTGGAGGCCGGCGGCAAGCACAAGACGGGCCCCAACCTGCACGGCCTCTTCGGGCGCCAGACGGGGCAGGCACCAGGCTACGTGTACACCGACGCCAACAAGTCCAAGGGCATCACCTGGGGCGCCGACACCCTCGACGTGTACCTGACCAACCCCAAGAAGTACATCCCCGGCACCAAGATGGTGTTCGCCGGCCTCAAGAAGAAGGGCGAGCGAGCGGACCTGATCGCCTACCTGGCCGAGGCAACGTCCTAAGGGGAGGAGGAAGCCAGGCGAACGGAGAGAGAGGAGACAAAGGGAGAGAACGCGTCCCGGGGTTTCCTCCTTCGGCCCAGTTCAACGGATTTTGTAAAATCAACCAGTGAAGAAAAATAGTTAACTTTTTGTAAAAGAATGAACAGACCGAATGTGCAGACCGAGAATGCCATAGGAAAGTGGAGGTCGTTTCCCGAGCGCAATCACGCAGGAAGTTCATTAATGATCATCTCACTGTTTCTCTCTCGCATTCTCTGAAATGTAAATAGCGTTTCTTCCCCCTCAGACCGGCTGACAAGGCCTCTCATTTTTATATATATGTATAAAACCGAAAGGAAAATGATGAGGAATCGAGACTGTTTCAGTTTTGAAGAACCTCGGTTTATTTTTCTCTTCATTTTTCCCTTCCTCGTACAGTAGAAAGCGGGAGTCCAGTCAGTTTCCCTTTTAACTTATTTCGTTTTCATCGCGAACAGAATGGTTGCCAGGCGTCGCCACGGCGCGAGGCGATGTTCAACTGGAATTGTTTTCATTCCATTAATTTTAATTTTCCATCAAATACATGTATAGTGAAAAAGTTCATTTCGTCGTATCTCTACCCTTGAAAAATGATTTAATATATTTATTTTCTTATCGACAAAAAGAGGTTCAACATAAGTGTTACGTCGCCTATCAAAGTTATTATCAACTTAGGTGGTACTATCAAAGGTGTTACTATTAAAGGCCTATCAAAGGTTGACATATTTCGCTTGTCAAATAATGGGTATTAACCAAAAATTTGATTTCGAGAAACTGTCTTAACGAGGAATTAGCAGATACCAAGACGAAGATTTCCTTCTTACTGAACCCATTGTGCTGAATAGTCTTCAAATTATTAGATCTTAGACGAGAGGAAAGGAAACTCGTATAATGCCTACAAAGACCAGATGTAACACTTGAAGAACTTCTTAAAGTAATCCACTTTCCCCAAGTGGTCCAACAGATTGACACATTTATTTTGCTCTTGGTCCCAATATTACTTTTCTTCGCCTCAAGTGGAATTTTGCACAACTCAACACATCTTCACCTGGCTCTTAAGATTTCATTTAGTGATTATGGACGTCATGTTGGATAGTTAATTAAGTGAATTAAAAAAGTGGAAATATTCATTTTTTATAACATCTAGTAAACTCTTTGGCATTCCTTATATAGAACTAAAAACAAATTGCGCCTACAATTGGAAGGCAGACTGAGCTCATGGGGTTTTATTATGAATTTCAGAAGGAAAAATCTTATAAACAAGCCAAAGGTCCAACATAGTTGAGTAAACTGAACAAGTTAGGTATTAAGTGATATTTAACATTACACACAAGATGCGATAAGAAATATCTCATACGTGTGTAATAAATCAATACATCACAAGTGTAGATTATACTCAAACTTATAATATAAGTTTATAGAATTGACCCACTGTAGTCTAGTTACGTAAATGTATGTGAATTTTTCTACGTGAAATATCATGAGCGTGTCAACTAGAGCTTCCAAATTTGAGCCACTATGTGTTATCATAATTGGATATTTGAAGCCCGAAAAGAATAGTTAAATGAGATTTTCACGCTAAAAGTCTGTTTTTGATATACACACAATGATATGAAAGACAAATAATTAATCGGCAAACTCAATATTTCAAAGAAGTATAGGTTTAGTAAAATTGTATGCGCTCGCATAATATTAATTCTCAACAATACGAGAGAGAGAGTGCAGAAATACTCTCAAACGCACAAAGATACAATATAAATCATATAACGATAGATTGGAAACAGCATTAACGCCTCGATAGAGAGAAAGGTGCGCCACAGTTTTTACTTTGTCTCGTACTTTGTAAAAGTATATAATGCAAAACGAGATTAATTAGCAGTATCGTAGGTGAATATCATTTGTGAGCAGATTATTAACAGGAGGTTGTATTTGCGATTATAAACTCTTCATCTATACAAGATTCTAAATAAATCATTATGACCAGAGACAATTTATGATACAGATGCAGAACAATTTTAGGGGTATTATTATTTAAAGATAAGGTAAAATGAATTTGACTACTTTGGTATTGCTCTAAATTTCCATCGCATTAAGTAGCAATGGTATTTATACTCATACGCAATCTACAATCTCATTGAATCCATTAGTGAGTCTTGAAATATATCCACAATTATATTTGACACATAAAGTTTTAACAAATATTAACGAATAAGATAACCATGTGTTTTTGTATTAAGAATAAGTAAGCGTCCACACATGATTATTGTTAGACTTCCTTTCTAGCTCCGACATCAAGGAACACAAATCAAACATTCAAATCACACCTTCTAAATTCCACATCACACTACTACACAATCACTCACCACAAATACACGGCGATCCACACGAGACACTACAGCAACCCCGAACGCAAAATAGAACTTTTCTACAACACACAACTAAATACAACACACACATCGACATACACAATCTATGAAAGTTCGAGAAGATAATTCGTGTAAAAAATTTTAATGGAATTAGTAATAATACAATTATATTTACCAGTTTAGAACATTATCGTATATAGTACGTACTACTGAGTTAGGACGGTACGCTATGGAACTCATATATCTGTAATCTATCGTGATACGATGAAACTCAGAAATATAGACGATTTAAAACGCGATGAAATACTGACACTAGGTGATACTCTCGATATATTTTTACTCTAACTGTATCCGATGAGGAAGGAAAATAAATGAAGAGAAAAAATAATAAAACGAGGTTCTTCAAAACTGAAACAGTCTGATTCCTCAT